ATGAGACCTGGGAAAAACCTTAACTTAAAAAGGCCAAGATCTCCCACTGTAACTGGGACCATTTCCAGTTGTCCAGATCTTGCCTGATCTTGCCACTGGACACAGATGGCTCCAGAAGAAAGAATGAGGCTGGTTACTTTGCACAGCCCTGCCTCACTTAAATCCAATTCCCTTGCAAGTCAAGACATCACCTTCCTGATGTCATTGGTCCTCTTTGAGAAGGAAGGGCAAACAACAATATTTTGCCAAGAATCAAAGTCAAGATGATTAGTCTATAGTTGGTGGACACTTCTGTCTTAGCACCCCTTTCTCTTTTATTTTTCCTCTATAGACCTTTCAAAAATCACTGACAAATGGCTTGGAAATCACACCTGCCAGATCTCAGTGCCTATAGATGTAGTTTGTGTGGGTCTGGTGACTTGAAGGTTCTCGCTTTTAAGTATGCAAGGAGGGCATACTTAAAGTTGTCCTACTTAGTTCAGGTTGAGACGCTTGGAAACTAGGCAGGGCTTCTCAGAATATGGCTCTACTCACCAGCACAGAGTCTCTTAAGTCTTTAAAACTGCACCTAGCCTTTTGGAACCTAGTACTAGAAAAGCATTTTTTTCTTTGTGGCTCCTGCTCCCAATTTTTCCGTTTTGTCCAGACCTTTAAGGCAAATTACTAAGCCCTAAGGACAGGAGGGGTGGGTGGAGCTATGGAAAAAGAACAATAGATTTCTGGTCAGTAGTAGACAGCGGATGATTTGGGGCCCGAGAGTGCCTCCCTTACCTGGGGTGTGGTCAGGTTTTAGGGCAAGATTTCTCTTCCCACCCCTGAAGCCACCAAAGCCCAGTTAAATCTGGAGCTATTGTTGGTATTTAAATTAGTGCTGCCTTTATAAAAGGAAACTTCCCTTCTAAGGGTCTTTGCTATTATTTTAAGCTCCAGGCTTCTATAGAATCTCTGGGAACCCAGAGGAGACAGGTAAGGTGGCATAGACACTTGTAGCTAAGGGTATTGGAGAGGTTGGGGACAGGTGAAACACAGGGACAGGCTCTCTCCCCTCTCTATATGTTTCTCTGGGCAATCTCATTTCCCTCCACTCTCATGATTCTCAAACCTCTCTCTATGTCTGAGCTCCTCCTCTAGCCCCTGCAACTCTGGGGACCTTTCATTCCTCTCTTCCTACTTTCCCCCAAATGCTAGCCTTATTTTTTCTTCTCTCCTTATCCACCACCTCAGGCTCTAACTTCCCCTTTCACAGTTTAAATCAGCTCCTGAAATAATTCTGTTCCGCAGACTATTGAAGGCTGAAGTGATTCCTTGCTCAAAAAAGGTGAATTTGGTGGCTTTCTCCTGTTACTAGGACATTATACAAATTCCTTTACCTGGAACTCAAGGCTCTCTAGCAATCTGGTTCTAGTTAACATTTCCCCAGCCATATTTGACTGCTCTCTTCCTCCTGACTTCTTTAACCTGAGGGGACTGTTCCCTAATCTCTCCTCCTATATCTTCAGGTGTCCCTTTCAGGCTTTGTTGTTGTTATTCAGTTATGTCTGATTTTTTGTGACCCCATTTGGGGTTTTCCTGGCAAAGATATCAGAATGGTTTGCCATTTCCTTCTCCAGCTCATTTTACAGATGAAAAACTGAGGCAAACAGGGTTAACTGACTTGCCCAGGGTCGCACTGTTTGAGGTCAGATTTGAACTCTGGAAGATTGAGTCTTCTTGACTTAAAGTCTGGCGCTCTATCCACTGTGCCACTTAGCTGCCCTCCCTTTCACTTTAGCACTAGCCCACCCTTCCCTCCACCTATCACCTTCCCGTCACCCCGCCCCAAGGCCCAGCTACTAAAATCTTTCTTTCTAGGTTTGCCTCAGGTGCCAGCCTGTTTCATTCTCCCAACTGAAAGTGATCTCTTCATCCCTCTTTCCATTTTGTGTGGGCTCTTCTTTGCTGTTATTTAACTCTCCCTTGTAACAAAATGATTTGTGTACTTTTATCTAACTTATTAGTAATTATAATAGCTAGCCTTTATATTTTCACTTTAAGGATCTCATTTGATGCCCTGTGAGGTAGGTGCTTTTATTATCCCCATTTTACAGATGAGGACACTGGTTGAGAGAGGTTAAATGACTTGCTGGTTAAGTGAAACTGGATTTGCAGATAAATTTAACCACTGCAATATTCAGCTAATTCTATTAGACTAAGCTGCTTGAGGGCAGAAATTATTTTAATCCCTGATCTCATCACCGCATCAGTTTTGTTGTAGTGTGGGGTCCTAGGAGAAGAGAATAAGCTTTTGTATAGCACCTACTATGTTCCAGGCACTTTACAAATATCTCATTTGATCATTACAACAACCTTGGGAGGAAGGCACTATTATTTCCCCATTTTACTATCGAAGAAACTGAGGCAGATAGAGGTTTGGACCACATGGCTAATGAAGTGTCAGAGGGTCTTCCCAGAGCCCTATCCAGTGCACTTAGTTGTCTCTCATAGGTTATCAAAGCTTTAAGACATAGAATATAGAATGTAAGAGCAGGATGGAGCCTTAGAGCATAGAGTATGGAATTCCAGAGTTAATAAAAGATTTCAGAACATCTAGTGTCCAGTGGTGGGGAAGCTTGAAGCCTCAAGACCACATGCGGCCCTCTAGGTCCTCAAGTTCGGCCCTTTGAATGAATCCAAACTTCACAGAACAAATCCCCTTAATAAAAGGATGTGTTCTGTAAAACTTGGACTCAGTCAAAAGGCCCTGGCCCGCTTAGGTTTGAGAACCCTGTCTCCTTCTAGGGAAGGGCTGTACATCCTAGTCTCTAGCTGCCTTATCTCCCAAGCTCCCTTCCACAGCGTGCTAGAAGTGGGTGCAGTGAGCAAGGGAGGGTCTCCAGGGAGTGCTTGGGGTGAATGTGGATCTGAGGAAAAAACTCAGGGAAGGGAGGAAGTCTCTGGGGGATGAAATGGAGGAGATCCTGCTGAGGGAAGGAGCTCCCTTTCTGATCCCCAATCTCTTTCCCCTGGAGATTACAAGCCATATGCCTCTCATACCCTTTTCTGGACCAGACCCCTATGCCAATTTGGACTCAAATATAGGAATCTGGTATAACTAGATGAGGCCTAGCCTGGCTTGGATTTGCGTCCCACCTAGCCTCTTAAAGGCAGTTGGGTGGTGTAGCAGATGGAGCTCTGGGCCTGGAGTGGAGAGCAACCAAGTTCAATTCTGACCTCTAACCCTTATTAGCTATATGACCTTAACTTCTGTCTGCCTCACTTTTCTCAAAATGGGAGTTAATAATAGCACCCGCCTCCCAGGCTTGTTATTGTTGTGAGGACAAAATGAAATCTTATTTGTAGAGTGCTTAATCCAGTGCCTGGTATGTAATAGGTGCTTAAGAAATGCTAGTTTTCTCTATCACTTTTGGGCTGTTTGGAAAATTTTTTAACCTCTCTACTTTCCTCATCTGTAAAATGGTAGCGATAACACTTAACTCCATCTTATAGGATTGTGAATCTAGAAGGTACCTCAGAGGCCATCTGGTCTTATTTTACAGATGAGGAAACTGATCCAGAAAGGCTGGGACTTGCCTAAGGTCACTCTGGTAGTGTATTTCAGACATAGGATTTGAACCCCAAGCTTCTGATCTCTCCATAGCAATACTGCCTCTACTACTGGGCTGTGGTAAGAAATACTTGAGTGCCATAGAAATGTGAATTAGGATTGACCAAGAGCATTATTGTTCTTCTTATCCTGCCCCTTTGGGTCTCACGAAGTCGTCTGAGGTCCAGGGAGACTTGGGGAGGCCAAGGAGCAATATCCTTGCAGTGTGGGTCTTCAGACACAAAAAAATTCTGAACTTGGAAGCAAGAGACATAGGTTCTAGCCCTGATTGGGGTGTGTATCTAGAGAGATAGGAGACTGGAGAAATGGACTAGGCATTGGATCTAAAATTACAGAGGATTTAAGTTCAAACTCTGATTTCTTTTGATTACTGTTTGTGAGACTTTGAGCAAATCTCTTAAGCCTGCCTTGGCCTCACTTTCCTTATTTGCAAAACAAAGGGACCGAATTAGAATCAGTGTCTATGTAGGTCCTTGAATTTACTTGAAAGATAATGCAACTAATATTAACATAATTGGTGTCCTTTGTAATCCTATTTTTATTTTATTCATTTAAAAACATTCTGATAAGGTTTCCCCAAACTCTCTAAGGGGTCCAAGATACACAAAAAAGATCTAGAACAGGGGTCCTTGAGGCCTCATGTGGCTTTGAGGCCGCAAGTACCACATCCCTGATCTAGAACCTCTGGACTAGATAAGCTTAAAAATGTTTTTAATTATTATTTTTTCAACTAATAAGCATTTTTTTTTCTGCCTTGCACCCCTCCGATGGTGGAGGAGAACCTCTTGTAAGAAACATGCATAGTAAAGCAAAACAAATTCACACACTGTCTATGTTGGAGAACAATCTTTAAGGTCCCCTCTATCTCTAAATCTTATGATCAAGTGAGGTTATGTGTGGAAAGCATTTTGAAATTTAAGTCACTATACACAGTGAATGTTAGTTATCATTGGACCTCAGTTTCCCATCTCCTAAAACAAAAGTTAATCTTTAAGCTTCAAGTCCTGATTCAGGTATAGTAAGAATCTAGAAATCTGATTCTCTAATTTGAATATTACACAATTCTAAGTTTCTCACATGGGACCTGAATTTAGGGGCTGGGCCCTATGGAAGGAGAGAGAAAGGGGGAGGAGGAAGTCATCTTGGGGGAAAGGAAAGGTTGGAGGAGGGGCACCTCTTCCCAGAACCTTGACTCTCACTTTTTCAATTCAATTTCTTTTTTCTTAACTAGTCTGCATTCCATGAGGGCTGAAGGCAAAAATTAATGGTGTTGGGGAGGGGGTGGGCACAGAAATTGCCCTTCAAACTTTGCCCCCTGAGATTACTAGCTAGCTCCCTTGGTTGGATGGCCCCTCCTTGGCTGGGCAAGCCTTTCACCTGTCAATCCCTGGTCTCCTTGGTCACTAAACCTTCAGCTCCCCACTGGGATGAAGTGGGAGGGCCAGGGGCCCAGAACTGGAGCCAGAGGGAGTTCCTAAGCAGGGCCTCAGAAGGTCTTCTGGTCTTTTTCGCTGGAGGTAGGATGTCTTCCAATCTCTTTCCTTCCTTCTCCCCATTAGAGGTTCTGTCTAACTCTCTCATTTCATAGCTGGGGAAGCTGAGGCCCAAAAAGCAAGGAGGATTTGCCCAAGGTTACATAGCCAGACAGTCAGCAGCAGAGGCAAGATTAGAATGCTGTCTCCTTTCCTTCCAGGGGAGAGCTGTACATCCCAATCTCTAGTTGCCTTATCCCCCAAACTCCCTACCACAACTTGCTAGAAGTGGGTGCAGGGATCAAGGAGGGTCTCCAGGGAGTGCTTGAGGTGAATGAGGGTAGGGGTGTTGTGGAACTGAGGAAAAAATTCAGGGAAGGGAGGAAGGCCCTGTGGGATGACAGGGGGGAGATTCTGCTGGGGGAAGGAGCTCCCTTTCTGATTCCCAATTGTTTTTCCCCTGGAGATTACTAGCCATAAGCCTCTCTCACCCTTTTCTGGCCTAGACCACCATGCCAGTTTGGAACAGTTTCCCTCAAGGAAACTGAAGCCTTTAGAACTGGGAGTGGGGATAAAGAGGAAGAAAAGCTAAAATTATACTTTTCCCAAGGGAAGCAGGCAGTGCCATGCAGAGGGGAAAAAACTGACTCAGTTGGTCAAGTTGTACTCCATTTTTGATTTGCTGTATGACCTTGGGGAAATCCTTTCCCCCTCTTTGGACTTCAGTTTCTTTAACTGTAAAATAAATGGGTTGGACAAGATAATCTCTCAGGACCAATCTAGCTCTGATACTATGTGTTCTTCAAGCCTTTCCTGCGGTCACATTAAACATTCTGAGGTCCCTCTTAGTTCTGAAATGGAGCAATGGCTGTGTGTTCAACCAAGGTGGGTCCTAGAGATGGAGTTAGAATCTAGGAGAGAGGATTTCCAGCCCTGGGGTTTACCCTCTATCCCAGAGGGCAATTTTATTAGGTGTCTGTGTTGAAATTAGGCCCAAAATTCTGTTCTAAGTAGTGGTTGGGGCTGAGGCTAAGGGTGGGGCAGAATTCCTCTTGCTTGGGAGGAAGAGAGAGAGAGAGTAGGATCAAGATTTTCCTCTTCTTTCCTCCCCCCTCTCACTGGGGCAGGACACTAGATCATTTCCCCTTGATAAGGTGTCCAGAGGAGCAGAAAGCTTTGGTCTAAGGTCAGAGATCCCACTTTCAGGAAGATTCAAGTATCTGGGCTTCATGTCCCACCCCAGATTCTGCTTTCCCAGTGTTCTTTCTCTTTCCTATCCCCCTCCTCCATTCAGTTTTTTCTCTCTTAACTGATCCCCATTCCAGTCACCCAAAACTCTTTCCCAAGCTAGGAGTTTTTATTCTGGGATCTATGGACTTTAAAAAAAAGTTGATGACTATTTCAAAATAACAGTTTTCCTTTGTAATCATATGTATTTGATTTTATGCATTAAAAGGCATTATTCTGAGGAAAGGTCCATAAGCTTCACTAGATTGCCAAAAAGGTCAGTGACTCTAAGGTTTAAACCTTAGCCTTAGATAGATCCTAGACCCTCCCCAGCCCCGCCCTCAGTCTCCCTACCATTGTTGTGGGTACCTTTAGCCATGACTTCCTCTTCTCTTCCTTCTATCCCCCCCTCCTCTGCTTCCTGGTTCTATCCTCTTTCAGCCTCTGACTTCCCCTTCCCCTCAAAGGCTCCAGGCCCTAGAGACCATGGCTCAACCAGGATGGGGGTTGCTGTTCCTGGGCCTTCTGGCCATGGCTCATGGGCTTCCAAGAGGAAATGATCTGCTCAATGTCTGCATGGATGCTAAACACCACAAGATACAGCCTGGTCCAGAAGATGACCTTCATCGTCAGGTAACAGGCAGGGGGCAAACCTCCTGGGCCTAGGGGGACCACAGTCAGATGGCTGGTAAGTGGTCATGCTGGGACTAATCTACATCTCAGGCAAACATTTCAGGCCCATGAAAGTTTCATAGAATCCTAGTGTCAGAACTAGGAGTGACCTTCAAACCATTGCATTCCACAAATATTGTGAAGGTCCATGAGCTTGGCACTGGGAATCTTAGGGGAAGATTTGACATAGCCTGTTCAGAGCTTACTATCAAATGGAGAAAAAAGAGATAGACAAATGAGTAAGTTACAAAGGCCAGGAAGATAAGGGCAGAGGGGAAGTTCAGAGAAAGCACTATGAGAAATTTGACTAGAAAGATAATTTAAATTTCTTTTTACATGACATTTTTTAAAATTAAATTTCATTTTAAAAAAATAAACAAAAGTATGGTTTATCCCCACAATCCCACCATTGGACAAACAATAAAAAGCCCAAAGCTCTTGTAGGAATTATGGCTAATCAAGCAAAGTATTCCTATACTGGCCTTGTCTAGAAAAATACGTCTTATTCTGCAGCGTGAGTCCATCATTAGTCCTCCAGAATTTGTGGTTGCCAGGTTCCAGGTGCCTGGGGTGCAAAAAGAAAGCAACATAATCCTGCTGTCCAGACTCAGGTTGATTGCTTGGTCGGTGGCTGTTCTTAGTGCATAAAGAAGACCAAAAGGACATCACTATGTTGGGGTCAAGGCACAATGTGTCTGACTGTGGCTGGTCAGACCAACAGGAGCTCAGAAGGCTCTGGCATAGGTCAGGCACAGATAGATATACAAGATACCAGAAGCATGTATTCTATTTGTAAACAAGATAGCAACAGCAACAATTGAAGGAAATTCTGAAGAGGGAAAGAACACAGGAGTTTCAAGGATAGGGTGACTACCCACTGGCTTGAATTTTTGAGGCCGCACTTGGGTCAGAGTAAGTGATATCTGATGGCTCTGGCTCTGGGAGAGGCAACATGATGTAATGGATAGGGTCCTGGCCTCATAGTCCTAAGGCTTGCGTTCACATTTTGGTAGTGACATTGAATGTGCAATGTTGGGCCAGTCATTCACCCCTCTAGGTCCCCATTGTTGCTTGGAAAGCATTTGGTAAACCTTAGAGTGATTTAAAAATGGGAGTCTGTGCCCAGCTCCTCAGCCCTCTGTGCCTTCCCTTCCCCCAACTCCTTCCCCTCCAGTGTAGCCCATGGAAGAAAAATGCCTGCTGTACAGCGAACACAAGCATCGCAGCCCATGAAGATGCCTCCCCCCTGTACCGCTTCAACTATAACCACTGCGGAACGATGGGCCCGGCTTGCAAACGCCACTTTGTGCAGGACACTTGTCTCTATGAGTGCTCCCCCAACCTGGGACCCTGGATCCGGCCGGTAGGTAACTGAGGGGAACATGAGACTTGTGTCCTTATCTACTAAGCATCCCCCTTCCCCCTGTATTAAGGGGAAAGCACAGCCTCCACCCTCAGGGAGATGTGCCAGGGTTAAGAGTCTGAAAACTGATGTTTCCTCTCCCCAACCGAGGTGTTCTCAAGTTGGAGGAGGGAACGGGTCCTGAATGTTCCCCTTTGCAAAGAGGACTGTAACCAGTGGTGGGAAGACTGCCGAACCTCATATACCTGCAAAGAGAACTGGCACAAGGGCTGGAATTGGACTTCAGGTGAGGCTCAGCCTCCCCCTAAAGCTAGGGGCAAAGGGAAAGGGGGGAGGGAGCCAAGGGTAGGAGAGTGGAGACTGTACCTCCCTGCCTGTGCAGAGAGGAGCTGAGGGGTGGGCTATGGCTGTGGAATACTGTATACAAAGACTTTTTGATGGGTTGGTTAGTTCTGATTCTTTTCTTATCATCTGTGGCTCTCTGGATGAGGGAGGAACTTTAGAGGAGTTTTGGAGGGAGGAGATTTGAGGAAATGTGGTTGATATAAAAACAAGAGGAAGTGGAGGGCTAAAGGTATAGGAACCTGAGGAAAAGCTTGAGCCTCAGGTTACCAGCTGGGATTTGTCATTAAGTATAGGAACTTCACATAGTTTTGATTAGAGATGTAGGTAAGTGGGGATCTACGGGAAGGACCAGAGGCTGGAGAGAGGCTGGCTACAATATGGGTTTGTGCATCTGAATTCAGGGCCTGATGGCATGGGTTGTGATAACTGGTGTGGGAGAGGCTCTGCAGACATTAAAGAGCTAGGGATTTGGGGCTCAAGATGAGGGCTAGGATCCAGAGTTGGTCATGAGGAGAAGGGAGCAGGGGAAGCCTGAGCTGGGGTGGAAGGCTGGTGGAGAGGTGGAATCAGGGTTGTGGGGGATCAAGTTGATATTCTTTTTTTCCATTCCACAGGGATTAACAAGTGTCCAGTTGAGGCTGCCTGCCACCCTTTCCCATTTTACTTCCCAACACCAGCCTCCTTATGTGAGAACGTTTGGAGTCACTCTTACAGTGCAAGCTCTTTTGGCAGGGGCAGTGGCAAATGTATCCAGATGTGGTTTGACCCAGCCCAGGGAAACCCCAATGAAGCTGTGGCTAAATACTATGCTTTTGCTTCTGCCCCAGGCATCTTCAGTTGGGGGGCCAGTTTCCCCTTCTTGGCTTTGACACTGCTGTTGCTTCTCTGGGGTTAATCCTCATCAGGCATGAAATCTAACCAATCTACATGCAAAACCATAGCCAAGATTTCTCTGGGTCTGAGATCCCTGGACCCCAGCTTCCTGCCTGACACAGCCTAGCTGTCCTGAAACCCTGGCTTCCCAATCTGGATTCTTCCCCCTCAAACCTGATCGTCCACTTGGAAACCTACAACCCCACCACATTTCTCATTCCCCACCCCGCTACTAAGTAGCTCCAACTGTAGTCTCCTACCTCTTCCTCTGCATAGCAAAATTCACCGCCCCCCTTCTCTTCTTTAGGGGAAGTTAGAAATTATTTCTACCCTCTCTAAAGTAAAGCCCTCCTTGCTCCTTTCAAGTAAGCATCATTTTATTGATTATATTTCTATCCCTTGTACCTGTTTCATATATAAGTAGGTGATTAATAAATACTGATTGATCAAAAAAATCCCTTCTTTATCCTTCCCAGTTCTTTCCCATGCAATAGAACTTTTCTTTATTCTGTTCAGTCATTTCAGTTATGCCTGACTCTTCAAAACCCCATTTGGGTTTTCTTGGCAAAGATGCTGCCATTTCTTTCTCCAGCTCATTTTATATTTGAAGAAACTGAGGCAGTTGGAGTGAAGTGACTTGACTAGGGTCACACAGTAAGTTTCTGAGGCTGGTTTTGAACTGAGGTCTTCCTGATTCCAGGCCTGATGTTCAAGATATCCACTGAGCCAGGTAGCTGCCCCTTTAGCACTCTACCCTAGCCTGTTTTGCCTGAAGTTCCACCACTGAAAGGTCTCTTGTTTTGAGTAAGGCCTTGGTGATCCCTTGGTAACTTTGCAGTTACCCTAGGGAGATGGGGTATATTTTATTTTATTTATGTATTCTGTTTTAGGCAAGGGGGTTAAGTGACTTGCCCAGGGTCACACAGCTAGTAAGTGCTATGTGTCTGAGGCCGGATTTGAACTCAGGTCCTCCTGACTTCAGGGCTGGTGCTCTATCCACTGCACCACCTAGCTGCCCCCTCAAGATCCTTCTTTAATTTTCACCACTACTTCTTTATTCTCTCTTATTGCCTGGTAGTGATGAGCAGAGTTGATTATCAATAAAATATATCCCGGGGGCAGCGAGGTGGCACAGTGGAAAAACCACCAGCCCTGAAGTCAGGAGGACCTGAGTTCAAATCTGGCCTGAGACCAAACACTTGACACTTACTAGCTGTGTGACCCTGGGCCACTTAACCCTAATTGCACCCGCCTCAAAAAAAGAAGGATCTTGACTTCTAAGGTGCACACCCCTCCCCCAAAAATGAGCTACTGGGCAGTGACTGGGGCAAGCCAAAGCTAGGATTTATTAAGGTTACCTTGAAGTGATCTCAGCCTCTCCTCTTGTTTCTTTGCATTCTGGGCCCCTAGCAAATTATAAAGCATACACTCTACTGAAGGAAGAGACCCATTTTATAGGTGCAGAGTAGCATGGAGGAAAGAACAACGGATTTAGGGAGAGTTCAACCTCAGTTTTCACAGCAGTAAGAAGAAAGGATTGGAATAGATTGCTTCTAACTTCTGTCCTAATTCTAGATTGATGATTCCCTTGGGAAAGATGGGAGCAGAGAGGTAGAAATTAGATGTACAGGGTCTTTTGGAGTTCCCCAATCTAGAGGAGCCTGGCACTCCAGAGGATCTGCTTAAACCACATTAAAACGTAATTAGGAAATATTTAAGAAAATAAAAATAAAATAAAACTAACATTTTAAAACTTAACATGTACCCTGTAGGGATCCTTATATACAGATTAAGAGCCTATTTAAGCTATTTGTTCACTTGGGTACCATAGCTAGTAGGGACTTTATACCAACTGTCAACTCTGAAAAATAAAATAAAAGCAAAGAGATAGCAGAAGTTACAAGCAAAAAGCGTTCTTTATTCTGTTGGAAGAGGGAAACTAGATAGGGTTGCCAATGTCTAGGACTGAGGCAGTAAGTCTAAGCCTTGATACATATAGTTGTGGCCAGTCAGAACCAAGTGGTGAGGTATATCACTCCCATATCAGGGAGGGGAAACAGCAACAATGAGGCAAGTTTATGTAGTGAAAAAAAGTCATAGCAGGGCTTTATGACTTGAATATAGATCTTGCAGGTGCTTTGTCTAAGCTCATTGATTACCCGGACCTGGCTTGAGCCAATTCTGTGATTTAGCTGCAGCAGAGTTCATCTAGAGGACGGGCACAAAGGATTGTTGTTAATGCTCAGGGTTCAGCTTGCTGTGCTTTAGCTCTGGAAAACCAGCAAAATAGTAAAAAGAGTAAATAATAATAGTAAAAAGAGGGGTGGACTTGGCATGGGCTTTCTGACAGTTCCCCTTTTTGGCCAAAGGGAAGGGGGGAGAGTCTAAAAGAAACTCACACTCTGGCCAAGAAAGGAGAGGCATGTATGAGCCATGCCATGAGAGGCCAGCTGGGCCAGGAGGAGATGAATTAAGGGACAACTGAGTGCTTAGGTTGGTGAGCTTGGGGGTTAAGGTGAAAAACCCAACAATTTGTTAGCAATGATGGAGGATAGACAAAGAATGGCATTTCTATCCCAGCAGTTTAGTTCCTTGAGGGAACCTATCAGGGAAGTGCATACTACATGTCTTTGAGAAACTCCCAACAGGGCAAGGAGCTTAAGCAGATAAAGCAATAGATCTTGTTTAGCCATTGTCTATTACAAGCAGAAAAAAGGAGAGGGAAGCCAAGAATGTAGAAGGAGAAAATGCCAACACATGCTTAGATCATGGCCTTGGTGGTGGACACATAACAAAAGGGAAGAAGAAAAAACTAAGATTTAGCCTTTGTCTGGAATCTTGGGACAGTTGTCTTATCTGGATGTCTGTACCAGAGGACCTTTGAGGTCCCAGGACAGTTTTGCCATTCACTCAAGAGTGGTGGCTTTCTTGGGATGATGCAGGAGTTCACACCCACAAATCTAGCAGCTGTGGGAGTCATCAGAAGGACCTGGTAGGGGCCCTTAGATTGAGCTGATGGAGTGAACAAGTGCAATTTCCTGAATGCAGAAAAGGAGGTGTTACACTCCCCAGATGTCTGTAACAAGGAAATGATCACTGGTTAATCAGTATGGGTCCAGTTTTCATATAATATATATGGGTTGCTTGAGATGTACAATTGTTAGAAAAGTCCTTGTATCAGTCTCTGGATCTGAGTTTCTGGTTGGCATAACCTAGGTCCTTGGTTAAGGGTCTTCAAACAGAAAGTAGAGTCCAGTTACAGATCAAACTACTTAGAGGGCTCACAATGAACCTCACTCACCTCACTGCCTGATTTTTTGTCTAGCCACAACTAAATATATCCAGGCTTAGCCTCAAAGCCTTGGGTCTCCTCCATCCTAGAGCAGACACCAGCACTTATGTCTACTTTCCCTCCTCCAACAGAATAAAGGAAGCTTTTGGCTTATAACCTCTATGAGCTCTTTGGTTTTATTTTATTTTATTTTATTTTTCAGAGTTGATAGTTGGTATAAAGCTTTTGCTATAAGTTCTGTGGCTCTTTGGTCAGAGTTGACAGTTGGTGTAATAACCTCTGTGGCTCTTTGGTTTATTTTATTTTTCAGAGTTAACAGTTGGTGTACAACCTCTCTGAGCTTCTTGGTATTTTCAGAGGTAACAGTTGGTGCATAATCTCTGTGGCTCTTTCATAATTTATTTTCAGAGTTTGACAGGTTATGTCTTGATATCTACCATATTAGAAATTAAAACATTTAAAAAATGTTTTCTAATTTAGTTAAAAGTCACATCCATTACATGTTGACACAAGTAACATTTTAATGAAAAATGTTTTCCAGAAAATTAGAAGATTTAATGTTTTGCATATTTTTGCAAATCTTTTAATGTCTGACTTAATAGGAGACAGCTGGATTTCCATCTTGTACAATCAGTTTGTTGAAGTATGTGAAGAAAATTCGGTCTCACGAAGACAATGTGGTTGGAAAAGGGAGGAGTATTTTAGTAGTAGTATCTTAGTATTGTGAAAATAATTTTGACCTCAAGGACTCCTTGAAAAAGTCTCAGGGTTCTCTAACCACGCTTAGAAAAACACTTAGTCCAATTCCATGACTTAATATATGAGGAAACTAAGAGGGAGGAAGTCATACAAGAAGTAAGAAGCAGCGCTTAGGATTTGAACCTAGGAAACCAGGTTTCCTGCCTTCCTAAGCATCTCCGGCTCCTAAGCCTTCCCCCAGTTAAGGATCTATAGTCTGGGTCCTGAGGTGCTGCCCTAATACTCAGTTTCCTAATTTCCAAGTGAAAATCCTTTGAAAACAAAGTGGTTGTTCCTGGAGGTGGAGAGGGGTAGGGCGGGGTGGGGGAGAGTGGGTAGGAGGCTGTAAGTATAAAAGTAGGACAGGATTTAATAAGTTATGCAGCTGTCCCCTCTAACTCTAGGGCACACAAAGGTGTGTCGGGAGCGGGGTGGGGAGGAGATAGGGGGGGTGGCTCCACAACTCCCTGCTTTTATCCAGTGCTAGGAGACGTCCTGGGGGCCGGGCCAGGAAGTTACCACCTCAAGGACTGGGCCTCAGGCAATACATTTTTGGCCAGGATCTGCCCGCAACTGCTCTGGCCCAGTGTCTTGGAGCCAGAAAATAGACTTGAACGGACTGGGAGTGGGGGGTTGGGGACAAAGGAAGCGAAGATGGAGAAGACAGGATGGGAGCGTTGGGGAGGGCTAAAGAAGGTAGGAGGGAGACAAGGGGCGACGGAGGGAGTGAGGGAAGGATGGGATGAGTAAGACGGCAGAAAAGGGGAGAGCGGAGATGGGGAAGTGGGAGGGATGGAGTAAGAAGGGGAGTATGGAGAAGGAGGAATAGCTGGTATGAGAAAGCTTGGTTTCCCGGGCTCTGGGCTGAATCTACAAGGAGGCGGGAGGGAAGCAGGAGGCGGGGAGAGGCAGAGCAGAGGGGCGGGTCGGAAGGCTGCGGGTCTGGGACCTGGGGCGGAGGAGGGCTGGCTGACGGGGCTGAGGGGTGGTTGACCATCTTAAGTCGGCTGGCAGCCCTGGCCTGGCCCTACGTTCCCGGGGGAAGAGGGTGTCTGAGTGTGTTCCCAGGTGGGCTAAGCGCTCTCTGCGCCCAGGCGAGCCCTCCTAGGGAGAGTGGGGTTGGTTTTATGAGACTTCTTGCCTTTTTCGGGAAGAGGAAGGAGTTTCCCTTAACTGTGCCCGCGAGACTGGGGCCCCTTTCCCAGGCCCGGGAGAGGCCTCGGGGGCTCCGGGTGGCGGCGGAAGAGAACTTGGAAAGTGTGGGGAGGGAGTGGGGGAGGGAAGAGACTCCGCTTTCTGCCGGGCTCTGCGAATCCCGAGACGAAGCTGCTCTGGGGCTTATTGGTGGTGGTGTGTTTCTCGGGGAAGTGTTTGGGGGATTCAGGGTTGCATCCCTAGGGATGTCAGGGGCTGGTGGCCAGATTTCT